ATCTAGAGTATGTTCGACCTTGCTGATATGGGATACTTTTGCTATTGACAAAGTAGTGGATGTATCGGCACGTGTTCTGTTACGCTTGTCTCCACATGCTTCCTTGTATCCTTCTCACTTTCTCTATTTGTTCCTCAAGCAGATGTGGTATCTTCTCTGGAAGCATAAGATGTTGAAGATGAGTACTCGAGAGCAATGCCAGGTAAGTAATTAGGTAAGGGGTTCTAGGCAATCAATTCCTGACTGGAAGCTTGATTCCAAGTGCTGACTGATTGCTCTCTTTCTCCTTGTCTTGCAGGTAAGAACAAGGCCAAAGGAAAAGACAGGGAAAAAGTATGATATGAGATACTCTTGCTTTTAACCCTGATGATATGAGATATTCTTGCTCTGGTGTAGCTTGTTTGTAGAGGTATTATCGGGGGGGGGAGAAAGCTGAGTATTTCGAGAGGCTTCGTTGGGAGTGCCCTCTCATATATGAGGAAGGGTTGATCATTTTCGCAGGTCTGCCTGTCTGTTGAGGATGGAGGTCGACATATATAGAAGTCTCCCTAACAACAAGTAGTATTGCTATTCCTTTACCCTGCTTGGTCATAGCACAGTAGTGGGAGCTGCCAGCTTCACGTGTGTTAGAGTACTTTGAAAAAGTGGTCTATGGTATCTGGAAAGCTGATGTTGCGTGTGAAGATTACAGACAAGCTTTATCCAAGGAGATCTGGCTCTCGAAGTTGAGAAAGCGGTGCATCTTTGGTTTTTTAACAAGCAATCCTGTCGGGGATCTGGCTCTCGAGATTCGAAGAACGGTGTCTCTTCGATTTTTGAGAAAACAATCCTGCTAGGAGTCTTGCTCTCGAGATTCGGAGAGCGGTGTCTCTTCGATTTTTGAAAAAGTAATCATGTTGGGAGTCTGGCTCTCGAGATTCGGAGGGCGGTGCCTCTTCAATTTTGAAGCAAGCAATCTTGTTGGGAGTGTTTTCTCGAATGTGAGTAAAGGTTGGGCATGTTTGCTAGTCTACCTTGCCACGGAGCACAGAGGTTGACACACAAGGACTTTCCAATTATCCAGCAGTGGTGCTGTTCCTTTACCCTTGTGGGTAATAATATGGTAGCTAGACCTTCAAAATTTATGTGTTTAAACTTTGTTAGTGCTGTTTCTTTGCTATTCTTTTACCCTTCTTGGTCATAGCAATGTAGTGGGAGCTGCAAGCTTCACGTGTCTAAACTTTGTCAGAGATCTTTAGCAAAGTTATATGTGGTACCCATGAGCTGATGGTGCGTGTGGAAAGTGGATGATTGAACAGTAAGATTCACGTGCTTTCTACTTCACTAAAAATCTTCAACAGAATGCCCGTAATTTCAGCAAAGCTGAGTGTGCATGTGACAAGTGCTGACAAGGCTGAAAAAGCAGGTGCCTCTTCGATTTCTGAGATCGGCCCTCGTGGTCTCTGAGCAGCCCAGCTTTTGAGAAAGCAAGCGCTTCTTCGATTTCTGAGATCGGCCTTCGTGGTCTTTGAGCAGCCCAGCTTTTGAGAAAGCAAACGCCTCTTCGATTTATGAGATCGGCCTTCGTGGTCTCTAGCAGCCCAACTTTTGAGAAAGCAAACGCCTCTTCGATTTCTGGGCAGGCGCCTTTTCGATTTCTGAAGCTCCGTCGAGTGCAGATTTTTATAGAGGTTGGCATTAAGTTCCAAAGCACACTTGGATCTCCACCAGTAGAAGCTCCCTTCTTGCACTTCTAAGATCTTGATTTGTCTGACCTCTTCTCTCTTCAACACCTTTGAAAATGTCTGGCCCTTCCGACCGTCGTTTTGACTTGAACCTTGTTGAAGAGGCAGTTACGCCTTCTCCCCTACTGGTCCTCTTACCGTTGGGGATTCCGTGATGAAGAATGATATGACCGCTGCGGTGGTGGCCAAGAACCTTCTCACTCCCAAAGATAACAGACTACTTTCCAAACGGTCTGATGAGTTGGCGGTTAAGGATTATCTGGCTCTGAGTGTTCAGTGTGCAGGTTCTGTGTCTAATATGGTCCAACGCCTATATGCTCGAACCCGCCAAGTTGAGTCATTGGCAGCTGAAGTGATGAGTCTCAAACAGGAGATTAAAGGGCTTAAGCATGAGAATAAATAGTTGCACCGGCTCGCACATGACTATGCTACAAACATGAAAAGGAAGCTTGACCAGATGAAGGAATCTGATGTCAGGTTTTACTTAATCATCAGCAGTTTGTGGGTTTGTTCCAAAGGCATTTATTGCCTTCATCTTCTGGGGTTGTACCTCGTAATGAAGCTCCAAATGATCAACCTCGGATGCCTCCTCCTTCTAGGGTTCTGTCCAGTACTGAGGCTCCGAATGATCCCCCTCTGGTGCCTTCTCTTTCTGGGGCTCTACCGATTGCTGAGACTTCTCTTAAGCAACCTTTATGAAGGCTCCCTCTTGTTTGTTTATTTTGACTCATGTATATGTACATATTTGTAACTTATCGAAGATATCAATAAATAAGCTTTACTTCATTCCAACGTATTGTGTTAAATACATCAAAACCTTCTTCACTAAGTTCTTTGATTTTTTCTTTTGTTGAAGCTTTGTGAGTGGAGCATGTAGGTTGAGGTAGTGTTCCCTTAATTTCCCGAATGAGGAAGACTTCTCGGTTGGAGACTTGAAAAATCCAAGTCACTGAGTGGGGTCGGCTATATGAATCTTAGAACGCCATTGTGCTCGATCCTGTGTCATGTCCTCCGTTAGATCCAAGTACTCTAAGTCTTTTCTTAGAATCTCTTCCAAAGTTTTCCTAGGTCTTCCTCTACCCCTTCGGCCCTGAACCTCTGTCCCGTAATCGCATCTTCTAACCGGGGCGTCAGTAAGCCTTCTTTGCACATGTCTAAACTACCATAACCGATTTTCTCTTAGCTTTCCTACAATTTCGACTACTCCTACTTTACCTCGGATATCCTCATTCCTAATCTTATCATTTCTCATGTGCCCACACATCCAACGAAGCATCCTCATCTCCGCTACACCCATTTTGTGTACATGTTGATGCTTCACCGCCCAACATTCTATGCCATACAGCATCGCCGACCTTATTGTCGTCCTATAAAATTTTCCCTTGAGCTTCAGTGGCATACGACGATCACACAACACGCCGGATGCACTCTTCTAGTTCATCCATCCAGCTTGTATTCTATGGTTGAGATCTCCATCTAATTCTCCGTTCTTTTGCAAGATAGATCCTAAGTAGCGAAAACGATCGCTCTTTGGTATTTCTTGATCTCCAATCCTCACCCCTAACTCATTTTGGCCTCCATTTGCACTGAACTTGCACTCCATATATTCTGTCTTTGATCGGCTTAGGCGAAGACCTTTAGATTCCAACACTTCTCTCCAAAGGTTAAGCTTCGCATTTACCCCTTCCTGAGTTTCATCTATCAACACTATATCGTCTACGAAAAGCATACACCAAGGAATATCATCTTGAATATGTCCTGTTAACTCATCCATTACCAACGCAAAAAGGTAAGGACTTAAGGATGAGCCTTGATGTAATCCTACAGTTATGGGAAAGCTTTCGGTTTGTCCTTCATGAGTTCTTACGGCAGTCTTTGCTCCTTCATACATATCCTTTATTGTTTGGATATATGCTACTCGTACTCCTTTCTTCTCTAAAATCCTCCAAAGAATGTCTCTTGGGACCCTATCATACGCTTTTTCCAAATCTATAAAGACCATGTGTAAATCCTTTTTCCCATCTCTATATCTTTCCATCAATCTTCGTAAGAGATAGATTGCCTCCATGGTTGAGCACCCTGGCATGAACCCGAATTGGTTGTCCGAAACCCGTGTCTCTTGCCTCAATCTATGCTCAATGACTCTCTCCCAGAGCTTCATTGCATGACTCATTAGCTTAATACCCCTATAGTTCATGCAATTTTGTACGTCGCCCTTATTCTTGTAGATAGGCACCAAAATGCTCTTTCACCACTCATTTGGCATCTTCTTCGTTTTCAAAATCCTATTGAAAAGGTCAGTGAGCCATGCTATACCTGTCTCTCCCAAGACTTTCCACACTTCGATCGGTATATCATCTGGGCCCACTGCTTTTCTATGCTTCATCTTCTTCAAAGCTACAACCACTTCTTCCTTCCTGATTCGACGATAAAAGGAATAGTTTCTACACTCTTCTGAGTTACTCAACTCCTCTAAAGAAGTACTCCTTTCATGTCCTTCATTGAAAAGATTATGAAAATAACCTCTCCATCTATCTTTGACCGCGTTCTCTGTAGCAAGGACCTTTCCATCCTCATCCTTGATGCACCTCACTTGGTTTACTGCCTTATAAACTATTCCACAAGCCCCCCTTCCAATAACATAGCTTTCATGAAAGTTGTTTGTCGCCTCAACTAGATCTTGGAACGTAAATCCCTCCTTTGCAGGTAAGTACATATCTGTATCAGGAGATAGAGCATCCTTATATTGCAAGAAAGGAACCCTCTGGCCTGGACGTCTCATGAAGTATAGGATAACAGCAATTAGAATAAGAGAAACACCACCTACAGCAGCTGCAATTACTGTAACAATTTTACTGCGGTGAGTAACTCCACTTTCTAGAGATGGAACAGATTGAGGAGATGAATTTACATTGCAACCACCAAGCGATCCGCCACAGAGCCCTTTGTTACCAATGAAGCTGCTAATATCCATGTTCTGAAACAATGGGGTGGAAGGTAAAGCTCCAGTAAGGTCGTTGTAGGAGAAGTTGCACCCTAGTAAGCTTGACAGACTCTCAAATGTGCTGGGAATTTCACCAGTCAAATGGTTGTTATTGAGCAAGAGGAATTCAAGTAAATTAAGATTTCCAAGCGCTGGCGGTATTCTCCCAGTGAAATTATTAAAACTGAGATTCATTGCAATCTGAAAGCTTGAAAGAGAACCCAATTCCGGTGGTATTTCACCAGAAAACAAGTTAGCACCCATCTGCAACTCTGTCAAATGAGAGAGGTTTCCTAATGCTGCTGGTATGTTTCCAGTGAAATTATCTTCTGAAAGCCTGAGAAGCTAAGCGTTCCCAGCTCATCTGGCAAAGCACCTATGAACCTATTTCGACTGAGATCAAGTCGCTGAAGCATCGTGCAGTTAACAATTTCTGGTGGAATCCACCCGGTGAGCAAGTTGGATGATGTGTTGAAAGTCACCAGTTGAGACAGGTATCCTATTTCCTTTGGCAACTCAGATGTAAAGTAGTTGTCTGAAATATGAAGCCTTTGCAACTTTTGGCAGTTTCCAATCTCTGAAGGAATTGGACCAGTGAATTTGTTCTGGTTCAACCCAATTGCAGAAAGGTTTGGCAAATTGCATAGCTGTGAAGGAAAGCTCCCAGTAAGCATGTTTCCAACAAGACAAAGTTGCACCAATCATCTGCAGCTCAAGACTCCGGACGGAGTATTTCCATTAAGATCATTATACTCCAGGTTCAACAAAATTAGACTGGAACATTGACAAATATATGGAGGTATTCTTCCTGTCAGTAAGTTATCAGATAAATCAACTACCCACAGTTGGTTGTGAAGTCCAAACCCCCATGGTATGCTACCGCTTAGAGAGTTGTCAAACAGCTGTAACTGGTACATTTGAGTCAAATATCAAAACCCATCGGGAATAGGACCCTTGAGATAATTAATTGAAAGGTCAAGCTTTGTCAGGTTCCCCAAGCTACTCAGTTCATTTGGAATCACACCAGTAAGCTGGTTCTGGAAAAGATACAGTAAGGTTAGACCGTTTATCTTACTTATCTCTGAGAAATCAACCTCAGCTGCCAAAGAAAGATTTCCAATTTCCCTTGGAATGGTTCCATTCAAGCCATTCCTGTAAATGTACAACTTCCTCAATGACTTTAGGTTCCCAATTTCTGGAGGTAAAGGCCCCACAAGATTGTTCTGATACAAAGCAATTGTCTCAAGCCTAGAGCAATTTCCAAGCTCCTTAGGTATAACACCCGAGACCTGGTTACCCCACAGAACCATATCTGTCAAGCTCTGAAGCATCCCAAGCTCCTTAGGCAATTCCCCTCCTATAGAATTTTGGGCAAGACCAAGCAATTGCAAGCCTCACATTCTCCTATTTCAGCTGGTAGGCTACCAGAAATAGCATTTTGCCCAGCTCTAAACGTTACCAGATTCTTCAGATTCCCAAAAGAATGAGGTATTGAACCAGTAATATTGTTGGTGTAGACCACAAACTCAACCAGTGAAGACAAGTTCCCAATCTCCTCCGGAATAGGACCACCGATTCTGTTATTACAAAGGTTCAAACTTGTTAAGTTTGACAGCTTACCCACTTCAGAAGGTATTTGGCCAGTGAACTTGTTATTGTTCAGATAAATTCTTTCCAAACTCGTACACTTTCCTATCTCATTAGGGATACCTCCCACGAGACCATTGTCCGAAAGATCAAGAAAAGTTAAGTGGACCAAACATCCGCAAGGTGTTTGATCGGAGGAGTTCCAATTTCCCAAAGAATCAAATCCATCCTGCATACTTTTCTTCAACTCAAAAAGGTAGAGCCCTTCATTATTCAACCCCTCTGGAGTAGAAGCAAGTAGATTTAAGGCAAGTAAAATTCCTGCAAACTGCACTTCCAAGGCCCTCCTTACCTCAAATGTTTTTTACATTATAGTAACACTGAGACAAGCACAATTACATAATTAAACACCTTCCCATCTAAGCTCATCAGATGCGATGCAATACAGATTAACCAATCCTTTACATCAAGTAATACATAACCAATTTCTAATCACAAAAGAATTTGATAATTCAGAATCTGGTTTAAACAAGGCAGTTTCAGTGTTTCACAGCACAAAATCCAAGCATATCAAGTGCTTAAGGAATCAAACCATCCATTTGAAAGAACAAACTTCGATATTTTGATAACTCAAAATCCAAATACATGACAGAAAGAGACTAAAAATTGAATTTAGACACCTAAAAGCTAAAAGGGTAGGAATAATATAGTCATTTGAAGCAACCCAATAACACAAAACTAATGAATTTAGCAAATTACCAACTCAAACTGAATGATCAGATTTAACCAGATAAGAGTACAGAGTGACAAATCAGTAGTAAAAAAGGAACCAAAACTGAAAAGTAATAACCAAAATTAAGCACATTAGAGCTAGGAACATACCTCTCAAAGTCTAGGAACACTCATGAAAAAGGGAGTGACAATGTAAGCAGCAAGTCCAGCAGAAGTGGGAGCATTAACTTCCTGGAGTGACAAACTGAAAACCATGGGAATTATGAACCAGAATACGAAAGTGATACAAACCCAGTTCGCCTTTTCGGACAAATGGTGGGGATCTCCGGTCTACAGGCCAAGATTTGCGCAGAAATATCTCAAAGCTCACACCTTTATTACGGCCTTTTGAATCAAGAAAGAAACTCAGTAGATTACAAAAAGATATCTCTGGGAATATTCTATTCCCGAAGAGAGAGGGCAAGGCAAGTGCTGGAGTTGAGTTGGAGCTTGTGGGGGTGCTGGGTGTCGTGAAAGGAATGATGGGTGTTAGGAGGGGCCAGAGCTCTGAAGCTTTAATGGCCGATAAAGCATGGTTTCATCATTTTTCACATGTTTTCTATCTATTTGGCTGTGCGTACTCTCTGTGCTGAGCTACTGAGTCTCTTTCTCTCTCTATCTAGAGGAGAAGAAGAAGATGGCTGATTGTGGGGACACAGTTTTCCTCTTTTTTAGTGCCTTGGAATGGAGAAGTGGGGGGAACTGTGAACTTTTGGGGCAACCCAAACTAGTTTGAATCTTTTTTTTATTTTAATCTTTTCAGAAAAGCTGTGGGATTTTATCTGTTTTTATTAATAAAAATCTAGAACAAACAATATTCTTTTTGTATCGTATTTATCTGTATTAAGATGATTTGGGGATTGATTCGTGATTTGGGTTTGGATTGGGGTTTGTGGGTCGGAGACACTTCTGTCAAACTGATTCAGTTTAGTGATACTCTCAACTTTTGATGTGGATGTGCCGATTTTTTAGCTCGGATCTATTGCAGCGCTGCCTTCTGTGTTCAGATTTGTTGCAGCGCCGCCTTGGAATCAGGTTGTTGCACAACCTTGGCTGAGCACATCTAGGGGTTGCACCGCCTGGACCGCTCTATTTTGGCGGTTGCACCGCTTAAGTACTTCAGATTTAGAGACTCCGGCACCTGCGTTTTCAACGTTTGCAGCTCCGGTTTGACCTGTGGGTGTTGCATACCCATTTTGTGCATAGTCATAACTGGTAGTCTTCGCCTGAGTATCCTATCCCTCCATCATTTTGTGCCATGTTGTGGTCTTCCTTCTCTGAGTTTTCAATTTAATTTAGTTTAGTTTAATTTGGTTGTCTAGTCAAGTTCTATTGTTTCGCCTAGTGAGTGTTGTGGCCACGCTGCAACGTTGGCTGTATTTGGTTTTCACTTTGAGGGATGAGTTATGTGGTCTTGCTCCGTGATGAGTTATGTGGTCTTGTTCCGCAATGATTTTATGTGGCCTTGCTATTCGACGGTGTCCGTTTGTAATCGCCAATACAAATATGTTATATCTATCGTTTTGTGATAGGTTTGTATGGGTGGCATGTGAAGTTCTCATACATGTGGTAGTCGTCCAAGGGTTTACTATTATTGTCTTGTTTGTGTAAATTCACCTCCAGATCATCATTCTCTTGGTCACTGGAGTATTGTACCTAATTGGCACCTTTGTATTGTTTGGGATTATGAATGAAATATCAAATATCGTTGCTTGTCAAAAAAAAAAAAAAGTTGAATTCAAGGGTTTATTTGTTCTTATGTTATTGTTTGTAATGAATGACTAAGATTAGAACTATGAGCTATATGAATGACAACTGTTATAGCAGTTGTGTGTCTTGAGTTGTACACATGGATAAGTATGATTGTTTTCCGCCACTGTGGTAAACGCCATCTCCCTTCTTTTTTTTTAGTTTGTTTAGTGCTATTTTGAAATTAAAACTTAGCATGTGATAGGAAACCATGAATCTTGTTTCTTATTATAGAAGACATGACAAAAGCACGGACGAGTCATACTATTTTCATTTAGAAAATTGATGCTCACACACAGTCAGGGGCGAAACCAGACAATCGATTTTCACTATTTTAATATAATTAATACAAGAAAATGGGTTAGAGGGAACCTATGCTATCCAATAACATACCTCCTTCCACTCCTATTCACACACTCATTTTTTTCATTTGCACATCACTTATTTATTCCTAACATTTAAATAAATAAATAAATAATCAAAAAAATAATAATAAACAAGTAGTGCATACAAAAGCAGACACAGAATATTCAAAAATCATTTCCCTTAAAAATTTAAACTTAATTAGCATTATAATCCAAGGTAGGCAAAGACAAGTACAATGGCAACAATGGTCCACAAATCTCAAGGACATGGACCTTAGAAAATTGAAATAGGGTGAGATAGCTCCCTTAGCTTGCCCAACCACTAGGCAAGAGCTTTACGTCCATATCATGAGCGGCCAGTCCATTTTTGTGGGCTATAGATGATTCCGACGACTAATCATAGATATGTTGAAAGGTGAACCGGCTCCGAGGTCCCGCATGAAAATTCAACTACCTAACAATTCACTAAGAAAATAAAATAAGTTGATAACTATTGGAGCACAAGGCAAAGGGTAAGGTTCTTCTTGCTATGCTGCCCATTTACCTCTTTGACTTGGAATGTTGTGGATTGGCTCATCTCCACTTTCCTGACTCCTCCACTAAACATCCTCCATCAATTCATGTTGGTAAAAATCGACTGATTTCGTTTAATCATATTTTACTATTTAGCATTACGATTTAATGATAGTTTTTATTTATTTATAAGGATATGTGACACACCCTCGATCCGGAAAGTCCATTTGGACTCCAAATCGAGTTGTGTTGGCCGACACCTAGAGGGTGACGAAGCCATAAAGTATAGTGATGTGAGAAATATGAATAAATTTAAACCTAAAAGTGTCTAAATACGAGAGTGCGCTATGAGCGGGAATGAACCCATTTCACACGTGATGCCAGAGCATAAGTAAAGTATAGTAGAGTGGATTGAGAATCATACCTTTGAAGGTAATCTCCAATACCAAGATTTGCCACGAATCCTCGTCGATAAGAAAGCTCAGCTAATAAAACTTGGAGGGTGAAACAAAACAAAGGTGAGTTGTCACATCCCGACCCGGGGCGGATCATTTCCCAGGCCCGCTTCACCACCGTAGCACGATATTGTTCGATTTGGGTCCTGACCACGCCCTCACGGTTTTGTTTATGGGAACTCACGAGCAACTTCCTAGTGGGTCACCCATCCTGGGAGTGCTCAAGCCCTCTTTCTTGCTTAACTTCGGAGTTCCTACGGAACCTGAAGCCAGTAAGCTCCCAAAAGGTCTCGTGCTAGATAGGGATGAGAATATACATTTAAGGATCACTCCCCTCGGCGATGTGGAATGTAACAATCCACTCCCCTTAAGGGGCCCAACGACCTTGTCGACACACCACGGCCAGGGTTAGGCTCTGATACCAATTGTCACATCTCGGCCCGGGGCGGATCACTTCCCGGGCCCGCTCCACCACCGTAGCACGATATTGTCCGCTTTGGGCCCCGACCATGCCCTCACGGTTTTGTTTCTGAGAACTCACGAGAAACTTCCCAGTGGGTCACCCATCCTGGGAGTGCTTTGGCCCCCTTTCTCGCTTAACTTCGGAGTTCCTACGGAACCCGAAGCCAGTAAGCTCCCAAAAGATCTCGTGCTATATAGGGATGGGAATATACATTTAAGGATCACTCCCCTGGGCGATGTGGAATGTCACATGAGTGGCCCTGGAAATAAAATTTTAGTAAAAACCTTCTAAAACGTCATAATACCTAGTTGTAACCTATATAGTTTCCAGGAAATCATACCACGTACCAATGTGAAATCAACAGGATATCAACATGAAATCCATAAATATACCACGACACAACATCTCATCAGCAATGTAAATAATCATGCGCTCAACAATCTATATTAGCACGCAAGTCGGAGTCACTTAACGTGACCTGTACGAGTACACCCATAGCTCATCAATCAATGCTAGGACATAAGTCGGAGTCACCTCTTGTGACCTGTACGACTCACCAATATCTCATCAATCAATGCTAGCACATAAGTCGAAGTCACCTCTTGTGACCTGTAAGACTCATCCATAGCTCATCAATCAATGCTAACACATAAGTCAGAGTCACCTCTTGTGACCTGTACGACTCACCAATGTCTCATCAATCAATGCTAGCACATAAGTCGGAGTCACCACCTCTTGTGACCTGTACAACTCATTCATAGCTTATCAATCAATGCTAGTACATAAGTTGAAGTCACCTCTTGTGACTTGTACGACTCACCAATATCTCATTAATCAATGCTAGAACATAAGTCGGAGTCACCTCTTAATGGCCAACTAGGTGGTCAACTATGAAACTATATTAAACATTATAATTTCA